ATACCTGGCCACAAAGATGAGAGTGAAGCAGGTGTAGGCTGGATGAACCAGTGTTACATAGATCCTCCTGTTCTCCCCTGCCATGGGATGCTGCACAGACTCCTAGCCACTAGGCAAGAGGAACTTTTGCAATGTTGTGCCATCACTGATCATTGGTCTGATAGTCCTTTCCCTTGGCCTCCTGTGTTATTGGCATTTAACAAGTGACTGCAGCCTATTAAATTCCATAAAGTGTCCTAAATAGCATGATGTCACAGGATGATTTACTTTGAGATTCAGTCATGAGCTAGAGAGGAAAGAAAAGTTTTAACTGAATATTTAGAAATAGCAGCTCAGGAGATGAGAGGGAAAGAGAGATTTCCAGAGGGAAGGTACAGCCTAAGCAGATAGCCCAAGCAGCCCAAGCAGAAGGGAAAGTGGGAGGGAAGGGAAGGTGCAGCTCAAGCAGCCTAAACAGATAGCATGGAAGAGGAGAACAGAGAGGAATCCAGGCTAGAAAAGTGTTCTGTGGGCTATATTCTTTTTCTGGCTAAACTTTTGCAAGTCAGGAGTAACTCAGTGGAATTCCTTCTCTCCTACATCCTTGCACCTCAGATCAAATCAGAGGCCAGCAGGTGGGACGCTGATGGGTAGGAGGTCATAGAACCGCAGTTATCGTAAAGCTATATGGATCTGAAATTTGCAAAAGCCATTCTGAATTTCTTTTATGGGGAAGTGGGGCAAGGTGACAGTCATGATAAGAAAAATACAATTTCTGGTCCCAGAGACCATCTTTAGAAAACACAGGAACTGCCAGACCTGACCAGACAAATGTATCCACATCAGTGTGTCCAGTATTTCACCTCCAACAGTAACTAGACATAGATGAATCAGAAGAAGTTCTCCTTGCAATAGACATTTGTGGGAAGATCAGCCAGAGTAAGTTTCTTTCTGACTCCATTATTGAGAATTGGCTCATATCCTGAAGCAAGATGGTTTATACCTTTCCAAAATGAGGAAGTGTTTGTTTTAAAAAATTACCATAGTAGTGTGCCCCTAGATGTTCTTTTAATCCATCTAAATGTCCAATACTTTCCTGACTGCTGGTAAGCTTTCAGTTTTAAAATTATCTTGTGGCAAAGAGGACCCCTCTACACATGCGGGCAAAGGTGTGATGGGATCTAATGCGCGATGAACACAATCATGCCTCCTGCCATGCCACACATGCATGTCAGGAGGTGGGATTGTGCGATCGTGCTGCTGGAACCCTCAGTCAGCAGCTGCTGGGGCTGAGGGTCCTCTCAGCTGTGGGACTCTAGCCCCAGTTGGGCATGGTGCACCCGTGCAGCTGGAAACCCCGTCAGCTGAAATACATTATGGGAGACCCTGCTGCATAAGCAAATTAAAGCTCAACAGTAGGGCTGTATGAAACAGCATCGTTCTGTTTTGACTTCTGTTTCGACATTTTGACGGAATAGTGTTTCATTTTGAGTTTTGTTTCATTTCGAAATCACTGTTCTGTTTCGTTTTGTCAAAATTTTTTCGCTGTTTTGATGCTGTTTTGCGCATAGGATATAATGGGAAATCATAAAATGAAGCAGGCAGGCAGATCAGGGGTTTGCCCACACCCCTGGGAGGGCTGCAGAGGCTGTACCAGAGTCCCCCTGGGGATGCGTGCCCCTGATCTGACTGCCAGATGACAGACTGGCGCTGGCGGCATCCCACACCCAATGCCAGGAAGATCAGTGCTGCCGCTGGCCCCAGGCGGCAGCATGCGGCTCCTGTCATCCCGTGCACAGATCATGGTCATGCACGCCCGGGAGGACTGTGGAACACCCCCACAGCCCTTCCAGGGGTAGGCCCCCGATCTGCACATGGGATGACAGGAGCTGGATGCTGCTGCCTGGGACAGTGGCAGCACCCATCTTCCTGGCACCAGTCCCAGCTGGCAGCACCCGGCTCCTCTCATTTGTTAGGCAGATTGGGGGCTCACCCGCACCCACGAGAGGGCTGCGGAGGCTGTGCCAGAGTCCTCCTGGGGGTGCGTTCCCCAGATCTGCCTGCCAGATAACAGACCAGCACTGGGAGCAGCCCACATCCAGCACCAGGAAGATCGGTGCTGCCGCTGGCCCCAGGCAGCAGCATGTGGGTCCTGTCATCCTGCGCACAGATAGGGGGCATGCCTCTCTGTGCGCAGAGCCCCCGCAGCCCTCCCAGGGGTGCAGGCAAGCCCCTGATCTGCCTGCCAGATGAGAGAAGCCAGGTGCTGCTGGCTGGGACTGGCACTGAAGCCAGTAAGCCTGGCTTCAAGTTCCCTTGTTTCATTTTGAAGCTGTTTCAAAGGCTTTTGTTTCATTTCCATTTCACTGTTTCAAGCTCGAAATGCATCAAAGCAGCTTCAAAATGAAATGCTGGGTGAAACTTCACACAGGCCTACCTGATAGCAACCAGCTATAAAGTTAGTACACCTTTTCAAGACCTAACTTTATAGCTTGTTGAAGAGCTTTTTATGGCATGATAGGTACTTTGCACATCTAGCTGGTCTAAAGGTAAGTGTACAGTTAATCAATTATGTTTGTGATACCTGCAACATGTAGGGGCAGCTTGAGTTCCTGAAATAAATCATGTGTCTTGTAATTAAGTAGGAACATAGCTTCCTAGACTCACCAGACTTCAGAGAGCAGCATTTTGGAAAGACAAGATTCATAGTCAAGTTTACCGCAGGATTAAATACTTAGTCAGATGCAAGTTCAAGGTTAGGTCAAACCCAGGAATGTTCAGGAGATGTTGTTGATCATGAGAGACAGTTAAGATGTGTGAGGACAAAGAACCCAACATCAAATCAAATAGATCCCAGGATGTTTAGCTGTGAAAGCAAAGTAGAAGTGACTTTTAAGCAACGGCCAAATCAGAGATCTGGAACAGGGCAGTTTTTACTTTGAGGGAGTACTTCCGTCTTTGGATGTTTTGGGAATAGGAAGCTATAGCATAGCAGCAGAGAGAGAAATGAGGCGACAATAACAGCAAAGGATCACGTGTGTTAGAAAGTAATTTGCAAGAGTACATTCAATAAAACAGCTGTTAAGCCCATTGTAAATAATAACCAAAGTATTGACTCAATTTCGACACAACTTGTCACACTACTTGTAGTTTCACCAAATCTTGTGGGACTCTTTGCATCAGAAGCATTCAGTGATGGGGACGAGGGTTGCACCACTGAGTTACATCAAAAGAGCCTGTCTTTTCTATTAAAAGAGCCTGTGAATATTGATATATTATATTTTGATATTTGCACGTGTTAATGATTTCCTTCAGAACTACAGAGAACAAAATACATCAGGGGATGACAAGTAGGAATGGTATGAAAAAGAGTATGGAAGTATCCGGCAGCCTTATAAACACTACTCATATGCAGTCAAACATTCTTGCAGTTCAGCAAAATGGCTTTTACCCCCATTTTATATATATATAATTTATATCTGACACAAAGCAAAATGAGACGTAAAACTACTCCCCAGCATAAGTGTCAGTTTTACATTAGTTTTGTTCTATCTGCTGCACCTTTCCTAAAAGTTACTGCTAAGAATCCTTTCAGTGAGTTCTCAGTGACAGGTGGATCAGGCCCTAAGTTGCTGGCCAGCGTTTAAATCAAGAGTCCACACTTTGAGGTAGAATTGTAAATTTCTGTAAATGTGAGCTATGTAACACACAGGAGAATACCAGATCTCTCTTTGACTGATAATGAGAAACCCCAACCAGACTGGAGCTCTACCTGACTGGAAGGGGCAGGGCTTAGGCAGTATATAAGCCTAGGGCCTGAGCCAAGTCAGGCAGTCTGGCCCAGTAAGCTTCACAGTGATAGCTTGTCTGGAAGGCTGCAGGAGGATACCTGGCTCACTTCTGTGCTGCCCTGGGGACTACCTGTAAGAGGTTGGTGCCTTACAGAAGAATAAACGTAGGGTAAGGGGAAGCTTTACTGCAAGACCATGAACTACTATTGATGTGTGTACCTAGAACAGGCTAAATTTATGTTATAGTCAGTGCGTTTATTCCTTTGTTACAGTTTAAACTAGTGATTGGGACTATCAGGGGCTGGCAGAGATCCCAATAGTGCCTGAGGGCATGCAGGTGTCCCAAGCCTGCTAGGCACTAGGTTCCCAGGACATGGTGTCGCCTTTAGCTCAAAAACAGGTTGCAGCCAAGAGAAAGAGGGTAGCTTAGCTCAGGCGGAAGCCAAGCAGAGCCAGGGGACCCAGGCACACAGACTCAAAATAGGTTCAGCACCCAGAGCAGGGTGGAGACAGGGCCCAGCCCGAGTCAAAACAGGCTCATTGCCCAAAGCAGGGCTGAAACAGCTCATTGGCCAAACCAGTACTGAAACATGGCCAGGGGGTCCAGGCAGAGCTGAAGCAGGCTCACCACTTGGGTAGAATGGAGATAGGGCTAGGGGTGCCCAGGACTAAAATAATCAAGGCAAGAGGTGATGCCCCAAGGCCAGGTCCAGAACAGTAGGACTGGGCTAGAAGGCCCAGCTATACAAATGGGTGAAGGCCAAGAAGGCTGAGGCCCTGACAAAGGAGTGATGGTACAGTAACATCTGTGAGGCATAGGCATTGCTGCATGGGAAGATGGAGGCCATGAATAGCCGTTAAGGGTACAAGTGCCCTGTGGGGTATCAACAGGTCAGGCAGGCTCACTAAGCTCAAGAGGGGCACAACTGAGACCAGTGGGGAAAGGGAGAGACCTGTTGACTGCCAGGAGGACTGGGGCTTGCTCTACGACCCTTAGGTAGCCTCCTTTTTGATCATCCAAAGAATACATCAAGGCGTAGGAGGTGAGCAAGAAGGGGTGGATAATCTAAAGCTGGAGCAGGACAGGGGTTACGTGATCACCAGAAGGTGTCACAGCCACCCCTAGAACCTGAACCTTACTACACCTAGCTTTAGGTAGCCCTCTATATTGTTTTAACAGGGAAAAAAAATCCAGTTCAACAGCTTCAATAAATCAGGTCAGAAACTCACTTGCTTTTGTTCTTCTCCCAAACTGTCCCACATTGATGCAACAATTTTTGATACATCTCCAAAGGTAGCATTGGGGTTTTGCCCTTTGATAGCTGCTTGTGTGTCTCTGAAAAACAGGGCATAAGCTGACACAGGTTTCTGTGGCTCATTTGGGTCCTTCTTTTTCTTCTTCTTTTGGCTTTTGGGCTTTTTGCCCAGGTCTGCTGATGGTCTCTTCTCTCCAGTAACCTGTAAAACCAAGAGCTACATGTTAATGATATGTTCACTTCCACTGAGGTTAAAGATTCAAGTAAAATTTGTATGGGGAAAACAATGAGGCAGGAAGGCAATACAAGAAGAGTTCTTACCACAGACACACAATAGCATAACTGGGGTAAAACAAGTGGGCATCAGTCCTAGGTCCTGACTTAGAGGGGGCACTGGTATGGCCACCTCCCCCAAACAGTTTTTGCCACAGCAGGCACAGGATAGCCACAGGAGCTGGGCAGGTACAGCTCCATGCCCAAAAATATATCCTGCAGGGTAAATGGGTGCAATGACCCATAAGAGGCAGAGCCCTGCCCCAGGGGATGTGGGTTGAACAGAACATCAGAAGCGGTCCCCTGGGGAGCCCATGCTGCTGCCTATGCTTCAACAGCAGCAGCCTGAGCCCATGCTACTATGGCAGCAGCAGTAGCAACTGCTTCTCAAAGGAGGTGAACCCTGGCAAATAAGACTCTTCTCCCTCTCCTCTCCTTCCCTCCACCCCCAGCTCTCCACTTGTCAGCATAATTCACACCCA